TGTCCTCTCAAAATAAAAGGCACAAAAAGCCCATAAATATAACTTAAATAAATGCAGCCTTGAGAGCATCTCACTGACTGAAATTAGCCAAGTCAACATGTACTTTGCTTTTTTCCAGTTTGTTACAGGTACTTCCAGCATTCCCTATGAGGGTTTTGCCTCTCTGCGGGGCAGCAATGGTCCACGTCGATTCTGTGTGGAGAAATGGGGCAAAGTGTCCTCCCTCCCACGGTATTTCTGAGCTTTTTTTATGTGTAGTGTCTCACACAAGGATATTACAGTAACTTTTATGTGTTAACCCATACTGATTATCAATCAGCTAATACCACATTGTCTTTATATGTTGGTGTAGGGCTCACACCTGCTTTAACCGTCTGGATCTCCCTCCCTACCCCTCCTTCTCCATGCTCTATGAGAAGATGCTCACTGCTGTGGAGGAGACCAGCACCTTTGGTCTGGAGTGAGCTCCCATCACAGCAAAAGTGCTACTGATTTTTTTTTCTTTCCCAGTTCTCCACAACCTGGCTTACCATGCAGGCTTCATTCTCATCCCTCACTCTTCCCCATGACCTTGGTAACCAGACACTTAATTGTTTTGTCAAAGTCTACAGAACTGGAATATATGTCATCAAATGATTCACTGGGCATGTGCCAACTCCTGCTCTATACTGTATGGAATCAAAATCCTGTGATAACTACATTCAATTCCTCACACAAATACAGACTTACACATTCACAGAAATCAGAGCAGGAGTCTTGATCATCTGGTTTTGGTTTTTCTGTCTGGACCAGCACATTTGATCTACGCTGTAGGGTTTTGCCTTTTGTTCTTGAATGAGCTGCGTTTTTAAGTCCAAAGATGTTTCATTACAGTAATGTAGTCACTCTATTTCATATCTGTAGGGTTTGAAGGAACAAACCTGTGATAGTTTTTGCTGCAGGGCTTTGTCATGGCGATATGATGTCAGTTAAGACCAACTTTTTTGGTTTCAGAGGTTTCACTTCAGCGGTCTTGGTTTTGAGGGGTCTGACCTAAATGATATTGATCTGGGCTGCAGCTCTGAAAACACAAATTTTTTCCCATCTTTTAAGAGAATGAAAACACACAAAACAGCATGCACACTCTTTTATAGAGATTCTTGCACCAAATGTAGTGGTTGTAGAATAGCAACCTGAACGTCCTAGGTTCAAACCGTGAGCTAGAAATTTCCTCTATCACCTCTTGTGCCCTTGAGCAAGACATTTATCAGCAGACTGTTCCAGGGGACTGTAAATGTAGTAATTCACTTTGGTTGGTCGACACTGATTAACTAACAAACACCAACACTTAGTACTTTGTTACATGCACACATTTTTAAATCCACTTCAACCTTTTATGCAACCCACAAATGTTACTAAAAACTATGAATGTATAAACACTGATCACCATGTGCAACAGATTTTTGTGTATCAGGAAAGGTAGATTTGTTCTTAGAGTCCATCATAAGGAGACCTATTGCTCTAAACTGTGGAGACAGACACAAACGGTGGCCTTGAAATTGTCTTTATTAAAATGTATAGTTGGGTATAGTTAATAACATGGTGATGTGTGCAGTCCACTTGAGTAACTTAAAACCAGGGCTGCAGTGGTTAAAACCAGTAAAACGTGAACAAGCTTCTTCTGGAAAATGAAAGGGGGAAAAAAACTAAGAAAAAGATGAGAAGAACTGTTTAACATGTGTAGGAAGCAGCAAGCCAAACTGAAACACCCTTGCACAAGAAGTATGAAGTGTTTTGGAAATATGGCATAATAATGGAACAATCTCTGAGCAGGAATTTCCATTTAATGGACCACAGATAGAAGCTCAACACTAAAATAAAGGATGAAAAGGTCCTCATTTTTGGGTGACAAGTTGCACCCCTCGTTTACAGACATGTAGTTTTTTTCTGTGGTCCCTTTCCCAAGCCCTCTCTCACACACACACACACAC